ACACACACACACACACACACACACACACACACACACACATACACACACAACACACACATACACACTGGCAGCAAAGCAAACAATTACCTGGGCTTCCACTTTATCTGTCGGTACATGTTTATGATCCTGGGAGAGAAGAACACATCCGCGTCGCACAGCCTTACTGTCCACGCCTCTCAGCAAAATGCCCAACTGATCGCCAGCTTCTGCCACATCCAGTGATTTCTTGAACGTTTCAATACCTAAAACAATTGCTTGAGATTCGAAAAAGTCCGGCTGCACCACTGAAGTACCATTCGGTGCTGTTGTTGTGGTGAGGTAAAACTTAACAACAGATGCAATGGAAGGAAACATACTGGAAACAACGGATTTCACTCGTTCTTTTCCGCCACCAACAATTTCCACTTTGTCGCCTTTCTTCAAGTTACCTCGTTCCAGTTTGCCAGTTATTACTGTTCCACGCCCTCAAAACATGAACTAATGCAGCATAAAAAATCGTCAAATAAATTCCCATTCCACTGCTCTTATTCAGTACAGACAAAAATGAACACCTGCACGAAACGGAAGTCGAAAACAGGTCAAAACCTCCTCCATATTCACTCCCTATGACAAGCGAAGGCACTCAGAAGTAGCCCAAGTGGTAGTCCAGTATCTGGCGCTTACGTTTTCGATGGTACGAGTAAAAATCCTGCAACTAATTCGAAATATTTCTGTTGCATTTAACTTCGAATGGCACTCAGATTTGGCTCTCATATAACAAATTGTCAGAAACAATCAACTACTAGTAATTTAGAGTGACTGGTTCTATTTTCTTCTTTAAAAAAATCATTTCTTGATATTCAGAGAAGCGATCTCCTGAAATGCTGGAATTTACCAGCAACAAATTACTATTAAAATAAGCCAACAAATAATAGATGAATTTAATGCCATCAGTAAAAATTTCAACAGAGACGCAAATTATAACACACATACAAAAATATACAAACATATTAAAAATTGGATGAACGGTAAGTAACTAGAAGAATATAAAGTTAAAGATTAAAATTACATATAAAATATAAAATTAAAGAATTAGGCGGACAAACCAGAAGCTCACGGACTCACAATGGGCAATGCTCGTCAATTACGCCCGATCGATCAACTTGATGTGGTCATTAATCGGATGAATTTAGGCCTCTCCCCTATATACAAGTAAAGTAAAACAAAAAGACGCAAAAATCTAATCCTTAAGAAATCCAGTTTAAAGAAAACAAAAGCTTGAAAATTGCACAGCTGCTTCGGAGGCGCTTACCTTTGATAGTGTACACGTGTTCGGCGGGAAACATAGTATCTGTAGTTTTCTGACGCTCCGGGATTATGAAAGAATCGTCAAGCACTTGCAGGAGCTTCAAGATGGACTGCTCCCCTATTTCTGGATTCTTTCCTTCTAAGGCGCAAAGTGCTGAACCAAATACCATCTGAATTGCTTACATTATTATGCATAACCTCGACAAAGTACCCGACTACTTCTACACCCCTCGACGAGGTGACATACATCGAACAGGCATGCAGCCCAAAATCGAAAAATCTATCATGGCTGTGGGCCGGCGCACAGAAACATCTCAGTAACACCACTGACATGAAATACCCATACCCTTCTTCTCTCTTATGAGGCGGAGAAACTCGGAAAGTAGCCCAAGTGGAAGGAAATGACGACAGCAACCACCCTTTGGCAAGACTGTCGAGTGTCTCCTCCTTCAAGGGTTGCCTGTAAGCAAGCTAATGCTGGATTTGACCCACTGCCATATGCTAACACCAATTTACCATTGAAATGAGTGATCGAAAAGTAAATGAATGGATTATATTTCAACTAAAATTAATATTTTTCAGGAAAAAAGTACCAAACAATCGTCAGTTACCCCGAATTTAAAAAAAATCCGTACTTCTTTTTTCCTCCTGAACAATATATTCATTAAATTTTGCTAATAATCATCCGTTTTTGAAATAGGCGAATTTGGAAAAAAAAAACCGAATATTTCTATGTCAATCAACTACTCACTGTTCTCAAAGCAACCGCTCATCTGTTAGCAATAAATGAAATGTAACCGGTGCATCGCTGGGATATTCAAGTTCGGCGAGTAACTCTCGCAACTCCATCTCCACCAGCTCGTGCGTCTCTTTATCGGGCACTTCGTCGATCTTATTCATAAATACAGCAACATTTTGAAGTGGAATGCCAACCTGTCGAGCGAGCAGCAAATGTTCTCGTGTCTGCAATCTCACACTTTCAAAAAACTTCGTCAGCCACATATGCACATGATTGTGTGTGTATGTGTGTGTATGTATAGCATGTATGCGTGTGTGTGCGCAAATTATATATTAACTTCTGTATGCATATGTGTGTGTGTCTGTGTGTGTCTATTGTGTGTGTTTGTGTGTACGCGTGTGTGCGCGTGTGTTTGATTTGTGTGTGTGTGTGAGCTTGTTTTGTATGTGTATGTGTGTGTGTGTGTTCGTTTGGTGTGTGTATGTGAAGGTTTTTGTGCGTGATCTAAACATCAAGCATCATTTTGTTACCCTCATTCCATTTGCGTCCTAATGCTTTTATGTAACAAAAACGTTCTCTGTCCCGTTGTAGCATAAATTTGTCATATTTCTATGTACCACCAACAACAACTTATCCATCATAATTACCTCACTTTATCGCTGCTGAGAAGTGTTAAAACGAGGAAAAGCTGTGAGATGCGCTCACCTGCGGCATGGCTCCTTCGGTAGCAGCCACAACCAGGATAGCCCCTTCCATCTGTGCCGCGCCCGTTATCATGTTCTTGATGTAATCGGCGTGGCCCGGACAGTCGATGTGTGCATAGTGCCGCTTCTCGGTCTCGTACTCCAGATGAAACGAATTGATCGTTATGCCTGAAATTACATAACCAATTAAGCATATTTAATCGTTGTGCCGTATTAAGCAAACAAATTTTAATATCATTTTCCATAACACTTTGCTCACTACTAACATACACTGCACAATTAATTTAACTCTAACCTTCACTAACTTCAATTATCACAGTCGTCGTACAGACGCGAGGTCCAATTGTGGTAATGGTAAGAAATGTATAGGACTTAATGGACCGAAACACTTTTTACCCTTACAAATAATCTCACAAATTTTTTAATTTTCATTTCTTGCCTCCCTTCTTTTTTTTCTCTTTATTTCATCCCTTCTTATTATAAACTACTCGAGCTATTTCCAGGTGCCTACCTTTGCTTCATAAATTATGAAAGGAATTTTTTTGAACCTGCACCTTAAAACACTCATATACATACATATATACATACATACATACATACATACATTCATACATACATACATACATACATACACGCAGACATAGACAAACACTAATGCGTCGAAATAGTGAAGAAAAGCCTATGCTGCTGCAGTAGGTCCAATATGTGAAAATACGAAAATCTGCTGAAATTTAGTTAATGGGACATCAAACCTCGAGCTTTCTCTTCCGGAGCATTGTCGATTTCCTCATACTTCCTGAATTTTGCTCCTTTTCTAGCTGCCAACACTGAAACAGCGTATAATAGTAATGCAGCTTCAGAGTTAAGAGTATATATATATATACACACTGGCGGATCGAAGGGAGGGGAAAGGTCTTTCGCTCCCCACGGCGGCACTAAAACTGAAGAAAACTTTCTCTCCCCTCTCCCCCCCCC